TTCCATCACCTTCCCTTTCTTTCTTTTCACAGGACCTTGTTATGTCATCCAGGCTGGCCTCAAATTCACTGCTGTAACCCAGGCTGGCCTCCAGCTGATAATCCTCCTTCTCCTGCCTCCCAAGTGATGGTATTACAAGTGGAAGCTACTACACTCAGCTCCATTTAGGCTTTTTATTGAGCTATAATTTACATGACACAAACTTCATCATTTTCAGACATGGTTAAAGTGTGACTTTTAGCTGTACATTCATCACCACTGGCTAATTCTATAATATTTCCATCACCGTGCAAAGACACTCTGTGCCTATTAGCAGTCAGTCCCAGTCTCCCCCAACCCCTCAACCCTCACTGCCTGCCCAGATCCTAGCAACCACTAATTTACTTTCTAAGGACTTGCCAATTCTAGATGTCTCTACTGTGATGGTTACTCCTGACTGTCAACTTGACTAGATTGAGAAGCACCTAAGAGGTTAGTAAAGCATTCTGGGTATGTGAGGTCATTTCTAGAGACCATTCACTAAGAGGGAAGGACCTACCTTGAATACGAACAGCAGCCTCAGGTAGGTGGGAGCCCAGAAGGAACAGGAAGGGAAAGGAGAAAATCTTCCAGAGGGTGGGCATTCTCTCTTGTGGCCACCATGATATGAGCTGCTCCACTTGACCCAGCCCTCTCTACCACGAAGGACTAAGCAGCAAAATAAATCCTTCTCTAAGTTGTCAGGTGTTTCCTTACAGCAACGTGAAGGTAACTAACACACTAGAAACACACAACTATGACCTTTGATGATCAGTGCCATTTAATTTGCATAACATGTTCATGCATCCAGAAGTATTTCAGTCTTGGGGGATAGAATTCAGGGCCTTGCATGTATTAGGTAAGTGCTGTACCCTGGGATATACTCCTATACATTAGTTTCTATGAGACAAGAGACTTGCTATGTAGACTGGGCTAACCTTGAGCTTCGATTCTCCTGCCTTTCCCTCCCAAGTACTGAGATGACAAGTATGTGACACCACATCTAGATAGTAAATACTATTCCATTCTATGGTCACGCTACATTTTGTTTCCCTATTCATCCCTTGATGAATGCTTGGGTTATTTCCATTTTTGACTGTTATAATGAATGCTGCTATGTAAAAGTGTTCATGTACAAGTCTTTGAGTGGACATATGTTCCCAATTCTCTTTCAATTCCCTGCTAAATGTGGAATGCTGCTGGGAGTTAGCATGCAACTCCGTGTCTAGCATTTTGCGAAACTGCCAGACCGTTTTCCAAAACAGGCTCACCAGTTTCCATGCCCGCCAGCCTCGTATGAGAGCTCTGAAATGCTCTTGACACTGAATCCAACCCGTTTGCCTTTGCATTCTGAACGTGGAACGCTCAAGAGACAAATCTGCCAGCATTCGCCCACCCCTTTCCCAGTGTTATAGTTATGCAAGACAACAAGCTTGGCAAACTTTAATTGCCTGAAAAGCATACTTGGGCCCTTGGGTACAACAAGGATGATTCATCTTTCTTGCTGAGGGAATACTACTGCCTGGCTCCCCCAGCCAAGGAGGGGCTGTCTGTGTGGGAAGGTTCAGGGTCTGACTTGGCTGATGTGCACTTGGGCTGTTTGCCAAGAGGTATTCTTATTATGTACGGGCTGCCAGGCAGGTGTCTGCACAGCTTCCTCAGCTCTGTAATGGATCCTGAGGCTTCCTGGCAGGGAGCTAAAGCTAGCTCTTGCAGCTGTCTCAGGCATGGGGTTGAAAAGACATCTGTGCAGATGGACAGAGACTGGGTGCAGGCTGTTTCCTCCCTGGTGTCCAACTGGCTGGGTAATAGGTAGACACTGACAGTCTGGTGAGCAGAGGTTGTTCTCTCCGTGACTGGGCAAATGAGGGCTCTATTTACAGCGACTCAGACCTGCATGCCCGATGAGGGAAGGCTTGTTGGTGTAGCATCTGGATGTGGGAGCGAGGCAATTTAGGCAGGTGGAATGGGAAGGAAGGGGATGAGAACCCCAGAGGAGTTCCCCTCATGGGGAGGGAAAATCACCAGCTGTGCTTCTGTGATGGGAGAAGGAAGGGCTCGTTCAGTTCTTTTTTGTCAGTCTAAGGGGGATGTTTTGGGACGGTGTAGGGAAGAAGCAACCAGGAAAACAATCACACGAGGTGGTCATTGATTAATTAGTGACCCTGCCTGGGGTTCCAGGTCTGTTAAATGTTAGACGCAGCTACTGAACATCTTTGATACATGGTTGTTACTTCATGGAATAAGTATTTATTGAGTTTCTGGGAGCTGCCTAGGATCCAGGGATAGAGTGATGAATAAAATCAGTCCTGGTAAGTGTCCCTGTGGAGTGCAGAGACTGATGGGTAGGAGGGCTTTGATTCACGTACTATAGGAGTCTGCAGAGCAAGTCTTTGCAGGATGCTCTGAGAGTGTAGAAGCGGGGAAATGGCTTAGTGTGAGGAAGGGGGCTGGGGAACTGTTTCCTAGGGCACAGATCTGAAGAATAAACAGGGGCAAAGTAGACCAGTTCAGTTGGCAGGTGCAGCAGGTGTAAAGCCCTGAGGCAGGACAAGCTGACATCCCAGGAACAGAAAGCAAGCCTTCTGGGGAGAACAGGGAAGACAGAGGCACAGAGCCAGGTGGCGAGGTTGCAGGGCTGGTCTGCTTGGGCTCCACTGGCCATGCAGAAGCCCATGCTCTCTAAGTTTGGCAGCGATGGTCCAATTTGTGCTTGAAATCACATTGTTCCTGGTCATTTACACAAGCTTCAGAAAATCAGGCAATAGAGTCAGAAATAAGAGTAAATATTTTGTTTCATTTCCCACCCAGAGATGCTGGGCTTCTCCTGGAATCTACAGGGCTCCAGGGGACTTCAGGGGACTGGATGGAGCTGGTGGTCTGATTTAACGTAAAGATGAGTGACCTTTATGCATGGATGAAAATGTAACTGTGAATACCTGATGTACTTAATGGTGGGCAAATGCCAATTTAAGGGGAAGAGCTGTTGAGTGTTGAGTGGGCTCCCAAGTCATGGGGACCACATCAAGTCCTTCAGAGACTAACCTGAGCCTTGGAAGGTCATTCTGACTTCGCATTTCAGAAAAAGTCTAGGAAATTGCATGTTTTCTTCCTCACTCCTAGGGAAAAAGACAGAGGTACCCATCTAGCTCAGTGATGAATACATGGATTATCACTGGCTTAAAGGTCAGAGCTGCAGGCCTCAGAGGTCAGCTGGTCCAGAGAGTCTAGTGAGGTCCTTGGACTCTTGTATCAGCACCATCTGTGGGGTCATGGTCTAAAAACAGCAGGTCCTTGTGTCTTACCTCAGACCTACTGAATCACAACTATTTTATATTCATATGTTATTTTATTTTACAGACAGGGTCTCATGCAGCCCAGGCTGGCCTAGAACTCACTATGTATCCTAGGATGACCCAGAACTTTTGATCCCTCTGCCTCTACCTCTGGAGTTCTGGGATTACAGGTATGTGCCACTATGCCCAGTTTGTATGGGCTGAAGATTGAACCCAGGGCTTCATGCATTTTAAGCAAGTACTCTGCCAATTGAGCTATACCTCTAGCCCCCGGAACTCTTTCTCAAAAATCTCTCTCTCTCTCTGTGTGTGTGTGTGTGTGTATTTGTGTGTCTGTGTGTCTGTGTTTGCATACATGTGTCCAGGTGTCTGAGGAGGCCAGAAGAAGGCATTGGATTCCCTGGAGTTGGAGTTCCAGGTTGTTGGGAGGCACCCTATATGGATGCTGGGAACGGAACTCCTGTTCTCTGCAAGAGCAGCAAGTCCTCTTAACTGCTGAGCCATCTCTCCAGCCTCTTATTATTTATTTTTGAGATAGGATATCATGCAACCCAGGATGGCCTCAAACTCACCATATAGCTGAGGAGGTTGATTTTGAATCTGTTCTTGGAGATCAAACCCAGGACTTGGTGCATGCTAGGCAAGCAGTCTACCAACTGAACTATATCCCCAGCCCTTCTACCATCTCTTTCTTATGAGCATGTTTGTACATCTAGGCCCAGCATCATCTCCCTGTATTTAGTCATTTAATTGTATCAGTAATTCTCCTTTTCCAAAGAAGGAAACAATTACTGTTTCAAAAAACTGGGACTTGATATCTTTGGGAGTTCAGTTTCACAATAAAATTTAAAAATCACTGATACAGTTCACATCCATTGGGTAGAGAAGGTACAGGAAATGGGAACCCAGAGAGACCTAGTTCAAGGTCACATAGCTGATAATTCACTTCTGAGGTTAGAACTAAGACTCCCAACTCTCAGGCTTCTCTTTCTGTCTGCCTCTGAGGGACAATGCTGACCGTGTGCTGCTCCATGCAAAGTCTACCTACTAAGTCATCATTCTTCCAAATGATCCCCAGAGACAGGGTCTCTATCATCTGTCACTTTACAGATGAGAAAGCTAAGGGCTCAGGGAGAGTTTAAATAGCTTGCCCAAGGTGACAGAGCTCAGTACTGGTTTCATTTATACGTATAAAAACCCCTAGTTGAACTTACCATGAGAATATTCTATAAATCACCCTTCTCTGAGAGTTTTGAACTCCTAGAAAATATGGAACACCCCTCTAATCCTTAGTTTTTCACTTATATGGAGTCATGCCTTCAATTCCATGATTAATTCTAAGGCTTCCCATTTCAGCCAACATGAGCCAATAGGCTTTGCAAGGAGATGGAGAATGGTCAAGGTCCTCATGGATTTCTTAAGCTAATGGCTTGGGATGGATCCTGGAGGGTTCTCAGAATCCAAATAGTGTGTGCACAGCAGGAGAAGGTGGGGCAGATTTATCTCACCTTGGATACATATTTGATCCTGTTTGTGACTCATGTCCCTCTGTAACAGGACCTTGGGTGAAATGTTTACATGCTCCACCTCCCTACATACTGCCATATAGTTCTTTTCCCAGCAGGGCAGGCATCTGAGAGGACACAGCAGTCCTGCCTCCCTGTCTACCACATAGAGCCCACAGCCATGGCAGCCCTGGCAGCCAGAGTATCCAAGCAACGTGCAGCTGCAGAAGGCCTTGGCTCCAACCAGAATGCTGTGAAGTACTTGGGCCAGGACTTTGAGACTCTGAGGAAGCAGTGCTTGGACTCAGGTGTCTTATTTAAAGACCCAGAGTTCCCAGCATGCCCATCAGCTTTGGGCTACAAGGATCTCGGACCAGGCTCCCCCCAAACTCAAGGCATCGTCTGGAAGCGACCCACGGTAAGGGGTTGGGTTGGCAGTGGCCTGTCACACAGGATAGAGGGCTGTCACATGTGGTCAGAAATTGAAGTCACAGCTGTGAATTCTGTTTCTGGATCCCCTAGTTCAGACCCATGCCCCTTTACTTTCTAAAATTATTGTTAGGAAGGAACACACACAGGCTTGGGAACTGGACAAGTTAGATCTTAACACTGGCTCTGCTCATGTGGCCTGGGGCAGATAGCTTAATCTTTCTGAGCTTCCAATTTTCCATCTGTAAAATGGTGCTACTGGAGCCATTTCTTTTCAGGGTTGTTATGAGAACTAGAGATAAGTCTCAGCGTATAATGCCCTGCATGTAAGAGGCACAGAATATGTGGTACTTATGATTGCATAGTGCCCTCAGGCTGGCACACAGAAGAACAAACTAAGGTTAGGTACAGTCAGCTCTAGGATAACATCACTGCCAAGAGGCTGCTGAGGGTCATGGAAGGTCATCGTTCAGGACTAGGGAGTGGAAAGGAGAGGCAGAAGCCGTTCTAAAGGGTGTGATTTGTATTTGTGGTCTCGATTTGTATTTCCTTAGTGAGTATGAATGCTGGATATTTTCATCTTCGTGTTTGTTGATCATTGGTTTACCCTCTGGAGAAATGAGTACTCAAGTCCTTTACCCATTTTTCAATGCTTCTGTTTACTTTTTTTGTTTGTTTCATTTACTACTTTTGAGGGTGACTCCTTTTTAGGTTTGGAAGCTTTAAATCATCTGGAAAACTGTTTTTTTTTTTTTTTAAAAAAGCATATGTATTAATTCTACAGAGGAGGCTGTTTCAGTGTGTCATTTCCACACATGCATACAAGGTACTTGGGCCATGCTCTTCCTACTAACCTCTTTTCTTACCTCTCTTCCTCGTCCACATCCTTAACGACCACCCCTTTCTTTACTTACCCCCCTGACAGTTGCACATACAAGAAAAAAAATGTGTCATTTTTTTTCTTTTTGAGTTGGGCCTGTTTCACTTAACATTGTGATTACTGGTTTTATAATTTTCCTGCAAGTGATATGATTTTCTTCATCTTTATGGTGATTTATATTCCATTGCACACACATACACACATACCATATACATACAGACCATATAGCTACACGATATACATTTTTTATCCATTAATCCACTGATGGGCCTCTAGGCTGATTCCATAATTTGGTTATTGTGAACAGTGCTGCAATAAGCATAGATATGCAGGTGTCTCGATGCTACCTGACTTTGGATATACATGCAGGAATAGTATAGCTGTTTCTGTTTAGCCTCCAAGCAGAAGATCTGCCTGGGTCCTTGCTCACGGGATAAAAGACAAATTTCTCTACATGAAGGTCTCAAGGCCAGACTTGCATTCTCAGGATGAGCTTTTTGTTGGGTATTTAAGATTCTAAGGCATATTTTTCTATTGATGTTGGGCAAGAGCAGTGGTCCTCTCACAGGCAGAGGCTGGCTATACATGTGCCCTTAGTAGCTGCCTTTTAGCCTCCTTATCTCCTGGCTTCCTTGCCATATTGGGTCAGTGCCCAGCCCAGGCATCTGTGTGTGCATAATGTCCAGTGTGAGCAGACTTGGGGCAGCCTAGTCAATATCCTTTTCTGTCTGAAATGTTCACTTTTTGGCAATTAAGCAGTTTATTGATCTTAAGGAGAACTACAGAGTCAGGAATGAAACCATGCCAAGTGCATAATAAGGACGTGAGTTAAGAGACATAGAAGGGCTGAACTGTTGGAAAATTAACGGCTGGGGTAGGCTCAGTTAGGAGCTTACATTCTTTCCCTAGCTGCTGCCTTGTGGAATCATGGCTTTGGAGTTTCCAGTTCAGCTGTGATTTATTGTGCGCTTGTTGTATGCAGAGGGGTGTCTGAGGAGCTGGTCAAGGAGAGACAAAGAACAGGTGGATAGCTATCAGGCATTTGAGTGAAGGAGCACATGGGCAGGCTTAGGTGTCAGGCGGATCAAGGTTCTGGTCCCTTGTTTGCCATTTACTAGCTGAGTGATTGTGGGTAAGTTACTAACCTCTCCAAGACTCAGTTTCCTCATCCATAAAGCAAAAACAATAACCTCCTTGGATTATTAGGAAGCTTGGATGAGAGAATATGCAAATGCTTAGAACATGCAAATGAGCTGTCTTCGATATTATTACGTGACTGTCCAGAGAGTAAAATATGCATATGAACAAAATGTATGGCAGCTTGGAGAGAAAAAGCAATGAGGTTTGACTGCGGAATCAGGTCAGGAAAATTACTGAAGACGGTTAAGCTGGGATCGTTGGAGAAAGAGGTCATGGGACGAACCAGGGAAAAGGTTTAGTGTGAGTGAAGGCACTGAGTTGAGGAGGTGCATGAGGGTTCGAAGGAAGACATGGTCCATTGTAATCAGTGGGTAACAGAGATGAAGCTAAAAACGTTCACCGGGCCAGATCCTGAAAAGGTCAGAAGTGCTGGGTCAAGTGATGATGTGGTGATGGTGATGAAGATGGTGGTATCACTGGACTTCTTGACTGAATGCAGCCAGAGCTCTCAAGATGCCAAACCAAGACACTGACACAGGCTAAGGCCTGGACAGCGAATCAGAGCCATCACTTCTGAGACTGTACGCTCTTACAGCACGTCCTGTCTTGCCTTCCTCACAGCTGTTTCCCCTGCCCATTGATCAGGGGCCGGGGCAGGATGGGCAGTTTGAGTTATGCCGGATAGGAGACAGTAACACACTGGAAGGAAAACATAGTGTTCTAAGTATGGGCAGGTTGGAGCCTGCCTCTTTGTGGGGTCTCTGTCGTTTAAATCTGTTTGTTGCCTGTTTACTTTGTTTCTCTGCTCTGAGTTCCAATAGAGAGAAGGCACATGTAAGTTCTTGAGGAAGAAATGCCATCTCCTTGTGAGACTGTGAAGATGAGGATATTCTGTGACCCTTGAAAGACATGTAACGTATCGTCATGACATTTTTTCTTCTGGGGTGGGAACATTTTGAATTATATTAATGAGTAACATGCATTAAGATGAACATTCCACTGACTTAGAAACCATGTAGCACCACTCTGAATACAGTGCTTTCAACTGTAGCCTTTGCCAACAATTCTCTCTTCCCACCCAAACCTAAAATTTTAGCAGCTTAGTAGACCTATTAGATCTGAGTGTAATATGCTCCATCACACAATGTGGCAAGGTGGATCTGAGTAGATTGTGCATGGAGTTAATTTGGAAGCTTTGGTATATTCTACAGTTAATAGTTGGAGCAATGAGTTTGAATGGTTTCACCAAGACAATGGTTAGGCGGATGTAATTGGTGCATGAAAGGGGACCAGGACAGAGGGCTGAGGCCCAGGCTGAGGGGTTCCTGGATTTCTAGAGTGAGAATACAGGACTCCTTGAAGAAAACTGAGAAGATATATTCAGAGACATGAAAGTCAAGAGCTAATAGGGACAGAGACATCACAGAAGGTTTTCAGAGGAAGGAAATGCCAAAGGCAGCCATTTTTAAGGAGCCACCATAAGACTGGAATAGAAAATGCTCATTCTAGGATTACTGGTGACACAAGAGGCTGGTTTCAGGAAGATGGCAAGTTTCAGGGGAGTGATAGATGGGTGGAGTTTTAAGGGAGTGTTTAAGGAAAGAGACTCTTTCAAATCTATATTCTTCCCCCTGCCTTAATAAAGTCATCTCCTTTTTACAAGCAAAATTTAAATTAAAAGAGTTTTTAATTTGTTGTTTTTAAAAATTATTTTTTCAAATTCTTCCAGCTTTTAGTTGCTAGAAAATGAGGAACTAGAGGCTGGGAGATCTTCAGCACCTGGGATTAGTACCTGCTGCCTTAGAATACACAGTGGACTGGTATCACTCCCATTCCTCCCCCTCCCTCCATCCTTCCTTTCTTCCCTCCTTCCTTCCTTATTTCTTTCCTTTCTTTATTAAAATTTGTTTTTAATTTAGTGTGTGTTCATGAGCCTGCAGGGCGCACAAGCGCATGTGTCCAAGTGCCACAGCACCTGTGTGGAGGTCAGAGAAGTCAGTTTTCCTCTTCGACCATGAGGGGCCCTGGGGATGGAACTCAGGTTATCAGACTTGGTGGCAGGCCCCTTTACCCTCTGAGACATCTCACTGGCTCACCATTTACCTCTTTCCGCTGCTATAAGAGATTGTAAAATCTTGTAAACAAAACACCCAAAACTAAAGTTTCCTCACTGGAAGACTGGCTAAATAACTCATGGTACTTTTAATGAAATTGCAAAACTCTGCATGTCCTAAGAAAACATATAAAAGGTGTTTGTGATTACATATGCACATGCACGCATGCACTGTTATAGTTTAGATCTTGTCTGTCCCTGAAGTCTCACCCCTTAGCTCTCATTGGGATGTATTGGAACCTTTAGGAACCTGTGCCTAGTAGAGGGAGTTATGGCACTGAGACTGTGTCTTTGAAGGAGGTCTTAGGACCCTGGCCTCTTCCTAGCTGCCATGAAGTGAGCAGGCCTCCTCTACCACATGTTACCACTATGCTGTCTGCATCATCACAGGCATGTGGATTGAACCTCTAAAGATGTGAATCCAAATAAGCTTTACCTTTTTTTTTTTTTAATCTCCTCTCCACCTCCTGTTCCCTCCCCCGCGGGGGGAGGGGAGGTGTCTTTAAGTTAGTCTCAAAATTATGATCTTCTTGCTTCAGTTTACCAAGTGCTGGGATTATAGGCACAAATATACCACCATGCTTGGCTGGCAGCTTTTCTTCTTTGTAACTCAATTATCCCAGGTATTTTGTTGTAGCAGTGGAAACCTGACTAAGACACATACACACATGTATATACACATACACATACATACGAAAATATACTTTTATTTTGGAAGACAGTTTTGGAAGGATGCATTAGAAATGTTAAGAGTAAAGAATCTGAAATGGAATGTTTTTTTTTTGTGTGTGTGTGTTTATTCTATTATTTATTGTTGGCTTTTGTCCATGGGCAAGAGTTATTTTCTCAACAAAAAAGTAAATATTAAAAAATATTGGGCCAGCCTGGGTGGTGCACATCTTTAATCTCAGTGCTTGGGAGGCAGGGGCAGGCAGATCTCTGAGATCGAGGCCAGCCTGATCTACATGGTAAGTTCCAGGTCAACTGGGGCGATAGGGAGACTGTCTCAAAAAGAAAAAAAAATATTGGAGTTGGCAAGTGGGGTAGGCCAAAGAAGCTGTTTTTGTCCTTCTAGGTAGGAGCTGGCAACCTCATAGAGAACTGTGGGTCTGCTTTCCAGAAGATTCCACTTTGATAGTAGGCTCTCAGAACCCCTGTTCACAGCTCCTCTTGGGGCCTGTCCTTCATTCCCAGCTCATTTCTTGCTCTCTTGCCATGTTGGCTCTATCATTGCTTCATGTCTGTGCCCAGCCAGCCCTTGTAGCACAGCCCACTAATTTAATTACCTGTGATTAAATGTAGTCCCTTGAGGTCCCACCCTTTCCTCTGACTGTCTGGTGGTCAGGCTGTCCACGTCTTCTTTGGATACCCCTCTGCAGCCTGCACCTGAGCCTGCCTTTCTGGTAGATGCACATAACCTTCCACATGGCAAGCCAGTTAGCCAGCATCCCTGTTGGACACTCTTCATTTTGCCCCCTTTGTGGATACAGTCTGCATTCTTTTGATTTTTACTTTTTTTTTTTTTTTTACTTTAATTCCCACCACCTCCACCCAAAGTCAGTTTGATTTGCCCATGTAAACCAGAAGTGTTTAAAAATATTTTATTTATTATTTTTATTTTATATGTATGAGTGTATTGCCTGCATGTGTGTAAGTGCACCTGTGCTGTGCGATGCCCTCGAAAGTCAGAAGAAGCAGTCAGATCCCCTGGAACTGGAGTTATGAATAGTTGTTACCTGCCATATGGGTGCTGGGAATTAAACCCAGGTCCTCTGCAAGACCAGTCAGTGCTCTTAATTGCTGAGCCAGCTCTCCAGCCCCCAGATCAAAAGCATTTTGAGACCAAACATTTCACTTATTTTCTTTATTTCATCATGATTCCCTTTCTCTCTTGCCTGCGATGTTGCAATAGTACCTGGTATAGAATGGGACCCAGTAAATCCTTGCTGGGTAAATTGAGAAAGGAGGCTGAAATTATGCCCCTCCGTGCCTTCTCTCAAGTCTAGAGTGTGATGTCACCTGTGAACAGGTGCCAGTTGGAGGCTGATGAGTGGAAGAGGTACAGGTTGGACACATGACCTTATCAGACTGTGTTCTCTCTGGAAATGGTAGTTCCCTGACACCTTTTTCCTGACACCTCTACAATCCTATCAGCTATGAGATTTTCTTGTCACTCAGTCAAGTGTTTAAGAAGTGTCCACAGGGTGCATTGCTTTTGCTAAACACCACCCTAACCAGCTCTCTGTGTAAGTAGGGCTGTTGTCTGAACAGGCAGAATCACATCCCATTAGTGTCTCATCCTTTGCCTTTCTCCTACGTTCCCACATCCTACAGCTTCTCACACCCAATTTGCAGAGTAAATAACCATACTGGTCATACATAACAGGGGCTTTGGGCTCCAGCTTCTGCCCAGTGGACTTGTAGCTGTGCGACTCTGAGCATTTTCCCTTCTCTGGCGGTAAAGACCTACCTGAAGGGTCAGCTGCACATGTGTGGCCTACGACTTGTAGGTTTCTTCCAGGTCTGGATTCTGAGCTTCTGAGGTTCTTTTTTTCAATGCTGCCTCCACCATCAAAAAGCATCTTGTGACTTGTGTTTTGTCCTAAATCGCTTTCAGGAATTGTGCCCCAACCCCCAGTTTATTGTTGGTGGAGCCACACGGACAGACATCCACCAAGGTGGTCTAGGTGAGTAACTGGGCTGAGTTCTGTTTGTTCAGGGCGAGGGCGGGGGCGGGTGAGTATGTGGAATGAGCAACATCAAATTAAGCTGTTAGACATGGTCAGCCAAATTACACACAGGATTCACCCATATGGGCTTCTGTTTTTGAGGCAGCGTGCTTCACAGTGGGTCTGAGTGCTGCAACTACCTCTTGGCTTCCCTTAGCCAGGGATTTTCCACCAGCCCATTCAACTCCTTTCACACTAGAGTGATGAGGCAGGATTACAGGCCTACAGCAGGAAACCTGTGTGATGTTTTCAGATGGCTGCCCTGAAGCAGACCGAGCTACCTGTGGAATGGCTGTGTCTGTATAATTATGGACCATCAGAGTAGATACCTCTGTAATTAGTGAGAAAACAGGATCTTATCTTTCAAGCCATAGATTCTTTCACAGGCCTGGGATCTTAGAATCAAGGACCTTCCTTTAAAGGGCTGGGACTTAGTGGAGAAGTGGGCTCTGAGCAAGTATGAGACCGTTTGTTCAGTCCTTAAAGTGAACAAACAAGTCAAAAACCCATGATTTCCTCAAGTCTCACACTGAAGCCAGGTCGGTTATACGTAGGAAATAATTTTCTCTTTGTTTTGTAAGTTCTGGACTCTTAGGGGTGTAGCTCAGTTGTAGAGCTCATGCTTAGCATGCCCGAGGTACTGGTTCAATCCCCAGCACCAAAACTAAGAAATAAATAAATAAACAAATTTTATAGACAAAGAAAGTTGGACAAACACAGAACTCACGCTGGCAATTTACGAAGTTTGCATCTTATTTCCAAGGAGGGATCATTCAAGGCAGTAATCAACCAGTAACTTTTTACTTCTGTTCATCAGGTTTAAATATACTGATGATATGTTTAGAGATAAAGCTAAGAATTTTTTTCTTTTGAGATGGGGTGAAATTCAGCCCAGGTGGGCCTCCAGCTGGCTGAGGTAGAGGATGAACATGAAGTCATCTTCTTCCTTTAAAGTATCTGGGATTACAAGTCTGTGTGACCCACCAATGCCTATCAAGGCAGTGCTAGTGATGGACTCTATGACCTCTGACCTCCGGTGCATTAGGCAGGCCCTCTATCCACCGAGATACAGTTTTAGTAAGACATCTTTTAAAAATTTGGAAGCTTGTATCTAATCCTTAAAAGATTTTAGGGTTACCTCTTCAGTGGGAGGAATGTTGGAGAGGAGGGAGTGGGCATGGATTTGATCAAAACACCTTTATATGCATGTATGAAATTCTCAATAAAGTTTTTATAAAAGTTAAAAAAAATTAAATTAAAAAATTGCAAATCAGGCTGGAGAGACGACGGCTCAGTGGTTACGAGCACTGGCTACTCTTGCAGAATTTGATTTCCAGCACCCACATAGTGACTAACAACTGTCTGCAGCTCCAGTTCCAGGGCATTCAGCACCTTCTTCTGTCCTCCACAGGCATCGCATGACATGGGTACACTTACATACATGCAGACAATACACTCATACACATAAAATAAAGATAATAAATAAAATATTTTAAAAATTTGTAAATCAGAACATTGAGAAGGAGCAAAATTTGCCTGAAAATGTACCAAATTTTAAACAGTTCTACTTAAATTAAGTGCAAATATTGCCCTGTTTATTTGAAAGAAATATAAAAATTAGCTTGTTAGAATAGTCTGACTGTGAGCTCATTGACTAAATTCTTTTTACATATGGAGAGGCTATTAAAAAATACTCTTCTTAGGGGTTGGAGAGATGGCTCAGTGGTTAAGACCACTGACTGCTCTTGGGGTTTGATTCCCAGCACACACATGGCAACTAACAACCATTCATAGCTCTGGTTCTGGGGGACCTGACACCTTCTTATGACCTCTATGGCTATTGCATGACACGGGTGGACTTACACACATGCAGGCAATACATTCATAGACATAAAGTAAAAATAATAAATAAAATAACACTATTCCCAGGGCTGGGGTTGCCTCTGGGTGGCAGAACAGCTGCCTAAAGTGCATGAGGTCCGAGGTTTAATCTCCAGAACTGCCAGGAAACAAACAAACATTGTACTCAGTACTGAATTGTGCTCTGGTTCCATTATGTAAGAATTTCAAATATTAAAAACATCTAATTTTTAAGAAGAAACACAGCTCTCCTTGATAATAGTTTTGCTTTGTCAACCTCAGCTCTTCTAACTCCAGAATCTCCCAAATGGGAATTTCTGCCCTGAGTTGGACAACATTTAAGTTGGTTTTATAGACCAGGGCCTGAGGAACAGACTCTGCTTAGTGAAAATAAGCAAAGCAAACAAAACTCCTGAGCTCGTATACTAACACGACCTTTTATTTCCAGCCCTCCCTCTCCTTTCTCCTTGTTCCAGCCTGGAAAGCCTTTGCCTGTTGGAAACTGTCATGATTTGGAAAAATCTCAGGGCATTATATTTTAAATGCTTGCAGTATTCTTTCCTCTAATGAATGTGGCAAATAGGCTTTAGTGAGCCTACAGGCAGCGAGACTGCAAAGTGGCCAGCACAATTGGGTGCCACAAAGAGAGTGCCCTGCTCCAAGATACCCACAGCCTACCTCTTGCCAGCTCTAGTGTGAGGGCTCCCTGAGGGGTGGTGTGTTGACCTTTTGTGTGTTCTGGGTGAGGGCACGCTGCCCTTTTCCTTCAAGCTAAACAGTTAGCCTAATTTAGCACATGTCCCAGGGAAACACAACTTTCAGTGTTTGCCTTTAATGGCTTCTTGTTAGAGACCTTTTAACTTTGGGAAAGGCGCTTAATGAATGCTATTTCATTGATTGACTTGGTGGGATTGTCCTTTGATTCACGTTAAGCAAGGAGATTTGAAGGCTTCTAGAAGGGGCTGGTGGGTTACCATGGAGAATGATGGAGACCCAGGCTGGAAGTACAGGAAATGAACCAACTGGTCCTCTGATGCCTGCTCACATCAAAAGAATAGAACGGCTGCTGTGGTAGTGGATTTAAATGAAAAGAGCTAGAAAGGAGCTGTTGAGCAACTAAAAAGAATAGGTGCTTAGGACAGAGTCTGAGTCCCTGTTCATCAAGATTACGCCTCAGGAGGTTGAAAAGCAGGTGCTTCACACCTCTGAGGCTACAGCTCAGTGGCTGAGTGGCAGCAATTCATGTGACCTGTGAGATCTGTGTGAGGGCTGGTCCTGAACGTTGGTGATGTGACTAAGAGGAGAAAGTCCTCCTTGGATAGAGCTTACTTTCCTAAAGGACCAGGAGGCCCAACACAGCACTTGTTGAATTAGGGCTTGGCATGGAGTCATGTTTGGTTAATGATTTGTTGGCTTGCCAGAGTCAACACAGGTACTGAAGGGTCTGCTTTCATATTTTTCCTGTGTGGTGGCGCACGCCTTTAATCTCAGCACTCTGGAGGCAGAGGCAGGCGGATCTCTGTGAGTTCAAGGCCAGCCTGGTCTACATAGTGAGTTCCAGGACAGCTGGGGCTGCAGGGAGACCCTGTCTCAAAAAGACCCCCCCCCCCCAAAATTCCAAAATCATCTGGTCTATACAATAAAGAAGAGGTTATTTATTTATTTACTTTTGCTTTACTGGAAGATTAAATCTAGGGCTTTGGGCGTGGCAGGCCAGCATGGCATCACTAAGATATATCCCAGCTCCTCCTTCCTCTTTTTTTTATTCAGAGAGAACATCTTACTAAGCTGCCCATGCAGGCCTTGAACTCACTCTGTAAGTCAGATAAGCTATGAACTCATGATCCTTCAGCTTCATCCCATCCTCCATGTGCTGGGATTTATGAGCACGCACCATCATACCCTATTGAAAAAGATCTCTTTTTGATAAGAGTTCTGGATTATTTTCAATACACACATTCAAAAATCAAAATATAACAAAGTCGTAGCATCACAATTCTTGAGAGTTGTATCATAATGCTCCACTGACTCCAACATAGTGCTCCATTGACCCTAACATAGTGCTCCACTATCCTTATTACAGTGCTCCATTCTGCCATCAAATGTCCCACTATACACTACAGTGCTCTGTTATCTCCACTGCAGGGCTATGCTGGCCCATCACAATGATAGGCTTTCCAATCACAGTGCTCCATCATCCTCATCACAGTGTTCCACTGTCCCATCACAATGCTCCACAGTCTTATAGTGCTCTACTGTCTTATCACAGTGCTATAGTGTCATATCACAATGATGGGCTTTTAAATCACAGTGCTCCATTATCCTCATCACAGTGAGCCACTGTCCCATCACAGTGCTCCACTGTGATGACAATGCTCCATTGTCCTATCACAGATCTCTAGTGTCCCATCACAATACTCTATTGTTCCATTACAGGTCTCCATTGTGCCATCACAATGATCTACTGTCTCCACCAAAATGTTACACTGTCTCCCAAACAATGATCCACTGTGCAATTCAATCATGGTGATTCACAGACTTAGAACAACGCTCCACTCTCCCATGACAGTGCTCTACTGTTGCATCAGAGTGCTGAACTGTTTCACAGTGGTCTGTTGTCCCATTCACACTGCTCTACTTTCCCATTGAAATGCTCTGTTCCTTAGCCTCATTAATCCAAGTTCCACGACAGGCTTCACAGTCCCTTCACACTGCTCTGCTGTCTCTTTTTTTTTTGTTCCTCCTTTGAAAAATTAGACTTTGAGAATTTCACACAATGTATTTTGATCAAATTCACCCCAACTCCCAAAGCTCCTCCCATGTCTAGCCCCCCTTCCATACTCACCCAACTTTGTATCTTTTTGTTTTAACCCATTGAGTCCAACTTGCATTGTCCAAATACTCTTAGGTGTGTGACTGTATACTGGAACATGGTTCACCTACCAGGGGACCCAACCTTAAAGAAAACCAACACTCCTTATGCCAGCAGCTATCAATTGCAAATATGTCCTCAGCTGGGTCCCCTCTCCATGCTGGGATTGGGTCTGGCTTGAGCTTGTGCAGGTCTTGTATATGTTGTCACAACCACTGTGAGTTCA